ATGTAAAACAAGTTTCTATTATTTTTTCAAATTCTCACAATCCATTAATGACAAAAGACATGTCAGGCCCTGTAGTTCTTTATGTCCTTTCGCCAACATCCGATACACATTCTTTTCAAGTAGTCGCTAGACCAAAGATAGACGTTAGTAATTGTGAACATGATCACAACAAACTAACATTTCATATGTACAACTCTACTGTCTATGTCGAACAAGGTCAATATTTGGCTATTGGCTTCGATAAAAATTCGCGTTCTCCAAGCTATTTGAATGCTCAAAGTTCGTGTTATACACTTGATATTGATGCAGTCAATCGAGTCTATATGACCAATGCTTCCATTGAATTTCAACAGAGTCCTGGACGAGTAGCAATTAGTTTTCAAATAATTTTAACTTCAGGTAGGATTATGATCTTTTATAAACAAAAAAAGTAATTACTAAATCGATCGAGATTTCTGAAATCTATTCGGATATTGAGAGAAATGAAAGTTAACCAATTATATGTTTAGAATTTATTCGTGATATATATCTTTGGTCAATATTTGCTGGTAATTTCAATTTGTCTATCTGTTTGTGTTCACATAGTCCGGTGCGTTTTGTTTTGTTTTTTTAATTCTTAATTGTTTACTGATAGTTGACATTGTTTGATAATTGAAATAGAATCCAATCGTAGCTGCACTTTTGGCTAGTAAGATTCACAATAAAGCAGCCGAATTGGTCGATGATAGAGAACTACAAAGAAAACATCTTGAAAAAAAGGAGTATGAAAAGACTATTTTTCAAAACTTTATTTTCATAATATATTCTGTTTTGTACGCCAGAGAATTCGATATACATGCAGTACAAATTATTGATAAATGTTTTTCTCAAGATGAAAATTTTGCCCTACAACTATTGACAACACAATCAGATTTATATTTCGGCTATTCTTCGTTGAAACTAGCCGAAGAAACGAATAATCGTTCATTTCTAGCCACTAGATGTGTACAAGCGCATGCCAATCGACTTTGGTATGGTCACATTGACCAATCTGTTAATAGAAGAACTATTATTGATATATTGGTCAGTGACATATAATTGAACTTCATTTAACTATTGAGATTTGAAAATATTACAGATGTGTGTACTGTGTATTTTTCCTTTTCTGGTAATATTTCCTGGCATTTATCGGATTATTCGATCGCAGACCATAAAACGAATGTAAGTTAAAAAAGAAACGTTTTTACTGATGATTTCCTACGAAAAATATGTTTCGGAAAACTTTATTACAAGATCATTATTGCGAGTACTTTTCGATTAAACTGTATTAAAATCAAGATTATTATCGATTACGATCGGTTCAATTTGTAATCCATATCTCAGATTAATAATCCAAAGAAATCATTGTAATCGATTATGATCATGGTTTTTCAGCAAAAATTCTTACATTAAAGATGAATGTTTAATTTAGTGGTACACGTAGTTGGCCAAAAAGAATGATTTATGATCGACTCAAGGACTTCTTTGGTGGAAGAGCCATCATTCGATA